CAATTTAAATAATTTGATTAGGCAATGTGTTTGTTTCTCTTTAGAGTAAGGATGAGGAAAAGAGGTAACATTGCACCATAATCTAGCACTCATAATAAGGAAGCTAGGACTTTTTCCCATATGTAATGCAAGAGCTTTAAATCAATTTTATTGTGGTAAACATTACATGTGATGAAATGCATCTCTAAATTGTCCATTTTGATGATTCTGACAAATTTGTATATCCCGAGTCACCATCATCATCATACCGAATATTTCTATTATCCAAAAATTCGCTGTGTTCCATACCAATCAATTTTCTCCCAACCTGGACTTAACTATGAATATACTTTCAATCAGTATAGATTGATCATATCTGGAGTTTGATGTGGATTCATCCAATCTGTACATTTATGTCTACCTTCTGCTCCTCATGTTGTAAGTGTCATTCACATAGTTGCAAGCATCAATAGTTTCTCTTTGGCTTAGTGTTTGAATGTATCAAAACAAGAGGACGTATTTATTTAACCATTCAGCTACTGATGAGCTTTTGGATTGTTTCCAATTTGGAACGCAAATACAGCTGCTAAGAATATTTGTGATCAAGCCTTTTTGTGGATGTTTTTATTTTTCTTGGATAAATGAAACTTAGATTGCGGGGTCATATAGTAACTGCATGTTTAACTTTTATAGTGTGGACTTCCCTCCTGCCCCCTTTCAAAGTGGTTGTATCATTTTACATTTTCATCAGCATTGTATGAGTTAGGTCATAGTCCCACCAATTCTGAACAATTGAGTTCTTAAATTTTAGTATGTAGTGACAACATACTATATTTTTACTTTTCATGTCTGATGTGTAGTAATGTTGAACACCTTTTCATGTACTTGGTGGTGCTGAGGTTAGATGTTGGGCTGCTAACTCTAGAGTTGGTGGTTCAAATCCACCAAACACTCCACCAGTGTAAGACGAGGCTGTCTCTTCTTGTAAAGCCCCATTATAGGGCCACTATGAGTCAGGACTGACTTGATGAAGTTATTTTTGGGGGGCAGTGAACAGGCCATTGCAAGGTGTCTGTTTAAACCCATTGCTCATTTATTAATTAGGTTGTCTTCCTATAATTGTATGTGCACATTCTTCATTTGAGTGACTGAAACTCTAGGGAGAGAAGTCTAGTGGCAAAGTGAGAGGATACCGTACCGGGACAGTCTGCGAGGCTGACAGCTGAAGACAAACAGGACCAGGATATCAATACACTTTGATACGTGCTTGACCACGGGGGAACTTGTGGTAGGGCATTCTGCCTGTTATTCTGCAGCAACTGGACAGCTAGAGAAAAGTTGGCTACTTCCTCAGATTTGAAGCTTATGTTCTGACTGATAATGTTCTAATTAGCCACCTCAGCCCATGGGGATTAGAACAGCAAGGGGAACATTTCTATTGTAATGTGTGCTGAGGCAGCCTGCACAGACTCCATTATACTTCCATTTCCTCTCATTCAGAACACTCCGAGAAAAGCTGTTATTGACTCTTTGCAGTTGCTCTTTAAACCTGTCTAAATGAAAGAGCTGCTGTAATTTTCAGTAAAATAAGTCCAGGTGTTTGTTATGCTGAGAATTTACTACATTAGAAGCAAGGTAATATTATTTATACAAGATTTATCACAGGTGGTAGGAAAGAGGGAACCAATTACAAGGAACTATATGTGACCTCCTCCCTGGGGGACGGACAACAGAAAAGTGGTTGAAGGGAGACGTCGGGCAGGGCAAGATATGACAAAATACCAATTTATAAACTATCAAGGGCTCATGAGGGAGGGGGGAGCGGGGAGGGAGGGGAAAAATGAGGACCTAATGTCGGGGGTTTAAGTGGAGAGAAAATGTTTTGAGAATGATGTACAAATGCGCTTTACACAATTGATGTGTGTATGGATTGCGATAACAGTTGTATGAGTCCCTAATAAAATGTTTTTAAAAAAAAGATTTATCACAGGTTATTCCTAGAATACTTTAGTCATTAAGGATGGGTTTTCTTGTGATGTCTGGAGTGGAGAGGGTCACATATGATCATTACACAGTATCTAGATTTCCGTTTTTTACATTCCATATTTTAAGTGTAATATATGCAGGTAACGTAAAAAATATCACTAGAATTCCAGTTTCTATGGGTACAAATTTATTTCAAACAAATTGTTAGCTTAAACAAGTCCTCTCAGTCATACAGATGTCTTAGTCTCATTAGGGTGTCTTCCAAAAGCAGATCCGGTAAAAAACAATGGCTTCTGAGGGAATCTGCCAGACCAGTCCCATTCAAGGCAGAGAGGTCAGCTCAGAAGGTAATGGCTTTTTATGGCATTTTTTGGGGGGGAGGGGAGCATTGCAAATGAGTAATTTTGAGATTTTCCCCAAAGGGCGAGGATGACGAAGGAACCTTATTATGAAAATGTTTTCATGGAAATCTGCATTGGTGATACAAAGGCCAGGAAAAAGTGCTGTGGATTTTTTTTTCTTCCTATCATGACAATGCACTGAACTCATTCAAGGGTAGCAAGGGCTGCCCCACAAAAACTGCGTTGGGAGACTTTACCTCGGATCCTGCCCCTTCAGGTTTCTTTTGGGTCCCCAAGTTCAAAGAACATGTAAAAGGAGCACAACTGGAGCGCCTGGAGGGAGCGGAAACTCCCCTTTTGATGTGGGGCAAATCAAGAGTGCAGAATTCTTCAGGAAAGGGTTGCCCCAAACCAAACCAACTCCACCCACTCCCTGCCACTGAGTCCACCTCAACTCACAGTGCCCCCACAGGACAGAGCAGACCCGCTCTGTGGGTTTCCAAGGCTGTAAACCTTCACAGGAACAGAAAGCCTTCTTTCTCCCAGAGTGGCTGGTGGGTTTGAAACACCAACCTAGCGCTTAGCAGAGCAGTGGGTACCCCATTGGGCTCCCAGCGCTCCATCTATTGGTTGAGATGGAGACTATGTCAACAAATGACAGCTCGACATTTTGATATTTTCATTGAATGAAGGTCTCTCTGATTTTATAGCAAGTCTTTTTCATTTAACTTTGGGTATTTTATAAACAGACATATATATTCTCATATTTTAAATATTATGCCGAACATTCTGAGATGGAAATACTACACAGTAAACCATCACAACGAGGCCCCGGTCAGGAAGACACACAGGAAATCAACTGCGAGTGGTCCCAGGGCACTTCAGGAAGCCACTACACAGACATTCTGAAGTAACAGAAAGAGAACTGCTCATTCACTAATGCAGCACTGGTGCTCTGCTCCATTCCACTGGACTAACTGGAAAAACCACTTATTTCCTCGAGCTTGGGCTGATGGAGAAGGCTTGAAACGTGTGCTGTGTAAAGGGTTCTATGTGAACAACAGTCTTGAACACTGTTTTACTTTATTTTATCCTTCTCAAGGCTCTATTTTTGAAATGTTGGCCAAGAAATCTAAAATAATGGCCAGTAGGGGTCCCTGTGTGGCACTCCTGTAACCAAAAGTTTGGAAGTTCAAGTCTACCCAGAGACATCACAGTATTTGCATTAGGTTGTTGGTCTTGCACATTTTTATCAAGCAATTTCATGTTCTCTTTTAACACCCAGGTCATTGTCCAACTACTGATCTTCATTTCCAGCTTTTGTATTTCATCATCAGTAAACCAAGAGTGTTTGAATGCACGGTTGATCAATTTCAGACTGTAGAAGTTGGTAGAAATCTTCAATTTCTTCATTTCTGGTAGTAGCAGTTGGTGTGTAAACGTGAATATTTATATTACCAAGTCTTCCTTGTAGGCATATAGAAATTTACCTATCCCTGACAACACTGTCTGTCAAGATCAATCTTAAAACGTCTTTTTGACCATGACTGAGACACCATTCCTTTCACTGTCATTCCTGGCACAGTTACACATGATCACCCAATGTAAAAGTCAGTTTAGCTCACGAATGCCTAGGATATTTATCTTTATGCATTCAATTTCAGTTTTGACAACTTTTGATTTTCCTAGATTCACACGCTGTACATTGTACACTGATTACTAATGGATGCTTGCAGCTGTTTCTTCTCAGTTTGAGTTGTGCCCGATCAGCAAATTAAGGTCCTGACATTGACACCAGTGATTGGTGCTACTGTGAGGAGGTAATTCAGGAAGACCTCAATCACACTTGAGTGCCTTCCAAACTGAGGGCCCATCTTCTGACAGTATCATTAGGCAACGCTCTGCTGCTATTATAAGGTCATGTGTTCAGTAGGCCGCCAGGTCTTGCTGTCTAGTTTGTCTTCGTCTATAAGTTCTGCTACTACCTGTCTACCATAGGTCACCCTGTTGGGTCTTAGAAAGACTGGTGGCATAGCTTTTAGCATCAGAATGAACATGTAGCCATTTACACACTCATTTATAGGGAACATGGAGTTAGCCTCCACCACCACATCCTGGGGAGTATTGCTTCTGTATGAAGACTGAATAATCTAATTAGCTTATGACTTTTCTTGACACGCTGCTAAATCCCATCTATGATACTATTTGAGGGCTGCATACAGCAGAAAGGAGGGGGAATAAGAGGCCCACACTGAACTGCCAGCTGTGGGGGAAACTGCCAGCATCATTAGGACAGAAGGTTCCTCATTCAGCCAGCTGGTTTAGATGGTTTCCAACCACAGGACCGGATCTTCGGTTTATGGCCTGGGAAAAGACGCTATCCTTGCATCCCCTTTCCTGAGGCCCTTTCAGTTGGGACTGGATGTGAATCAGACACACACAGACCTAATCTACGGCCCACGCGTGAAGTATCTTCAGGATCTTTTATTGCTGCCTTTTTAGATCCTCCTTGACACAGAACCACTATTAGTGCATTTCAACCAGACATCCACCACAAGGATTAAAAAGTATTTTAATATAATTTTATTCTACTTGGAATCAAGCCATACACACATGCTCACACACACACACACACACACACACACACACACACACACGCACTTGTGCACACTCAAAATGTCTGAACCACTTAAAAAATCATTAACATTCATGTTTTAATATTAAATAACAAGGATATAGTGACCATTTCCTGAGTTAACAGTGCAATGTAAAATTTATCTGTATTGCTAATTAGACATTTTACAGCATAGAAATGTGATCTAAGTGACCATTTACTTAATTATGTCATAAAACACAAGTGCCTATTTCAGAAGAGTGATACAGGCAGTTTAAATGCTAAAGAAATTTGTGATTCGTAACAAAGAATCCTATATATATTTGTTGCCATCAATGACTTTCCAGGTCAATTATCAGTAGTAGTAAAATAAGTTATGGTACAAAATAAAGCACAAGTTATCTATACTCAGGAAACATTTGATTTCATTTAAGAACCAGAAGCCTGGATCTTAGATAGCCGTTTTACACATACAAAACTGTTCTCTTAAAAAACCCTAAACTATCACAAATTTACTAAATCAGTTGAATAAGGACAAAGACAGTTCTCCATTATGCTGTGAAACTATGAATCTCATCTTTGGAAAAGTTAAGATCATGCAGCAACCTGAAAAACAAATTAAACATACAGTTCTTAGAGAAAATATTCAAAAATAAACAAAATCAAAATTTCCCATATCACGATACTTTTTCATCTTACCAACCAATGTACTTTTTTAAAAACCTGAAATAAATTTATCACTGCTAAAACTTTTAAATGACATCAACTAAAAAATGTTGCATTTTTAATTGACTTGTGAATGCCAACATTTTTCATTTTTGAATCAAGATTCAATTAAAATCTACTTATTGTGATTGGCTTTTAACTCTTTTATCTTTGATACTCTCTTTTTCTGCACTGAATAATTCTTTTATTTGTTATCAAAATCAGATTTTCACCTGTAATGTTTCCTGTATCGCTGTGGCTGATTAAATAACATGCTCCAATGTTCTACAACCAAAATTAACAGCAGTATCTCCAGACTTAATCAGATATAAGGTCACTTATTTTTGGCAAGACCACTTCATAGTTAGTATTGTGTTGTTTCATCATGAGGGACATACCTGGTTGCTTCCCTTTTTGGATGCTGGCAACCACTGATGGCATAAGATTCGTTATCTTATTAGGGACTTAAATTGGTAATATTCTACTTACAGCATGCTAAGTCACATTTTCATTATCAGTACATGCATTTGTTTCCACCATTAGTCAGTGAAGGCCTTGAAAGCAGAGACCTTTTTAAAAAATGTTTGCAATGAAATGGATGTGTATTGGATAAAATAACCTTTATTTGATAAAAAATTATACAGATAATTTAAAATATTGCTATAAAGTAATTTTGAAAACCTTTATTAAACTAAAATACCCAAACTATACATACTAAGGTACGTTTCTTGAAATAACACTCTACCTGGGTCTAGACCCTTTTTAAAAAAATTATTTTATTGGGGGCTCATACGATTCTCATCACAATCCATACATACATCCATTGTGTCAAGCACATATGCATATTCACTGCCCTCATCATTCTCAAAACATTTGCTCTCCACCTCAGCCCTTAATATCAGTTGCTTATTTTTCCTCTCCCCCTCCCCTCAT